CCTATCTTATCTCTCTCCATTTTCATCCAACAATGAAAATTTCAAGATATTTCTAAAATCCACCGCGCATTGATGGCAACCTTGTGTATAGCAGTAAATTAAATTATCATAGTAATACCCAAGTGCTTTGCGATATTGTTATAAATCCATACACCTAAAAAAAATGAGAGGGGATTTTATCAAGGAATTTCCACGTTCCATAGAAAGAATGTGTATTTTTAAGTAGGTTTATTCCATTGAACGAAAATATTCCAACAGAGTTCCAAAGTGCGCCAATATTGAAACAAAACTGGAAGCTACGTTAAAATCAAAGAGTTTATGTACGTACATATACCAGTTTATTAGCAATGACAACTATTTAAAGTATTTCTGCCTCCTAAGGTAGATGATTTATGATTGGCAAGTTAGGGAGATGCACTAAGAAAAATCGGATAGAAAAATGAATAAACAATGAGATACTCCGCCTCTGATTGCGGACATTATGTACAAACTATTAGCCCTATTGTGTTTTCATTGTAGAAGTGAATAGTCATAATAAAAGTTCTACAAGATTGGGATACTTCAATTTTTCTTTCATATTATATTTTAAATAGTACTTTTAAGAGAGAAAACCTATTGGCAAATTCAAATGAAGTTTTTCAATAAGTTGAAAGAAAATACACAATTCATTGAGAATACAAAATGTAGAATAGAGTGAAAAGGAATTAATATTCGGATTTCAGAGTAAGATGTAATAAAATAACATTAATTTAATTGTCATAATCCTTTTGTCCATTCCTCATTCCGAGAATTTTTCTTGTGCCATCAAAGTGGTGGGCAGCTTATATATTTCATAACTTCAAGCAGAAATCATGCAAAAAAACTCTCTTAATAATAAATAATAATAATAATTAAAAAAAAGAAAAAAAAAAACTTTCCCCCCCAATGATCTGATTTTTAGAAAAATCTGTATCTTTCAATTTTGTAGTTTGTCAAATACCAAGTTTTTACAATTTCAAACCCATGGAGAGTTGAAATAAAACATGAGATCTGCACCATCTTAAGCACTCCTTATTCTATACTGGGAAAAGTTTGGAGCAGTTTCGAGAAAATAATTTTTTATTTGCGTAAATTGCATGCACAATTAGGCAAACCTATTATTTTTTCAAAAAAAATTTGTAAATGCCTTTTTTTAAGGCTGATTTTTCAAAATAATTTGTTTAAGCAAAAAATCTTCAATTTTTGTAATATTTATTCCCATTTTGCAATTTCACAACTACAGACAGTTCAACTTAACATCCTTAATTACCATAATAAAAAGACGAAAATTTTCAGAAAAAAATTTGTGAAGAAAACATGTTTTCTAAAATATTTATTCCTAAGAAAATCAGCATCAAAATAATAATTTAAAAAAAAATCCTCATTAAGGAAGAAATGAGGAGAAGATTTAAATAAACAAATTGTTGAATTTTGAAGTAAAAATGTCTATTAAATAAAATTGCTTACATTTCACACAAAAATTACATGAAAGCCACTCAAATTTTTCAACAAAAATTCTAACAATTCTACAAAATTCTCACCCCTCCCGTTTTAGAGCAGCTGTGCAAACTGCCAATATCAATAAAAGTCAAATGAGATTGCCCAAGATAATGGAAATCTTCCTAATAAAGTTTAATTGTGGCCCTCTGAAACATTGTAAGTTGGACACACTTGTTACAAAGTAATTTCTTTTATAGGAGCAAGATGTATAACTTTGCATTATCAGGCCTGGAAATAAGAGTTTATCTTCGAAAATTCAAGTTTTCCTGCAGGCATTACCAAATTATTCTCTATTCTGGTAGAAGTAGGAGAAAGAAAGAAGTGTAATGATTTAAGATTTAACTAGAAATCCGAGCGAAATAAACCATTGTTATAATAGGAGATTAATTACAACAGATATAGTACCATACACACTACTTACTAAATTTGTATGAACTTTTGTTGTGCAGTGTTAAAGGATCATATCAAGAATATCCTTTACTTATCTACTCTCACTCAAAAACGTTATGCACACAAGTAATCTACTTGTAATATTGCCCAATTAAAATGTACACTCAAAAAATACACAAATACATATTTCGTATTTTGAAAATGATGAAATGAACAAAATGAAGCAGAACTTTTTTCTTTCGTGTCATTCTATTAATTTAAGATATTAATAAATTGAACTGTCTACGTGATTCAAGATTATAGTTCTGCACTTGGCCTTCATTAAAAGCAAAATCATGAAATTAATAGAGCAGGAAAGCTCTAATTTTTTCCGAAACGAAAAGTCCTGAGATTTTAAATATATTGACGAATAGCTCCTTAATAAAGAAATATCCATCTTTAAGAAATTAGTTGGTAGGAGGCATTAAAAATATTTACCTTTCTCAACTTTTGAAAATTCCAGTAGTAGCGCAATTGGACCATAGCATCATATCAATGGCTAAGAGTACCCACCTGTTTGTGCTGACCAGAAATCTAGAATCAAGAAAATTTGAAAGGTGCTTTACATTATGCAATGATACGTTTGGTTGTCTTGGGAAAAGCATGATCCCTCTTCTATTACATAGATGCTTTGCACACTACATAGATTGAAAAAAAGGTCTCTAAATATGTGCCGACATAAAGTTTGTGCAGAAGCTATCAAAATTATTAAATAATTTTACTCTAGTTGAACAAGAAACTTTAAAATCTTCGGAGTCCTTTGAGAATTATTTTTTAA